TTTCCACAAATATTATTGACGCTGTAATGGACAATCTCTGTCAAAAGTGTCAAAGTTTCCCTGCCATATAACGAAAGGAATTCCCTCTTCCTTGCTCTCTCTCTCTCTCTGCTGTTTGAATAAAACTTTGTGTTCAATAAATGAACTTTTATTCCATGGGACACGGTAATTCACATCCAAGCATCGTCTCGTATAATGATTGAATCACTTCTGAAACAGAGGGGAAAACTTCACTATAAAAGACATTCTCGCTGTATTTCAACTCCTCCTCGTTTCGAAGGAGTTTTCCCGGAGAATTTCCACGAAAGTTGGCAGTGTGTGAAAGGGGATGATGAACAGGTGAAGTGAGATGGGCGAAGGGAAATGTGGGTAATGTCAAAAATGACTGAAGTTCACCAGTATCAGTGCGTGGTATCAAATTAAAATTTCACTCCACAGCAGAGCTCCAGGATTTGGGAGCTTTCACGACAACACGCGGGGAAAAATGTGATATCCCGTGAGATGTGGCAGAGCAAGAGGACTCTTGGGATCCCTTCATTCTCCTCTATCATTTCCATTCAATGCATAATTTTTCTCGCTCTGATTTTCCACAAACGGCTACATTTACATTTACATATCTCTCCCAACTCCGGCTTCATGTAGTGGAAAAAGTGGGTTTCTCTCTCTTTTTTTTCCTTCCTCAGCCAAAAAGCATGGGAAAATGCTTTCTTGTGCAATGTACAAACTATGTGTTGTTGTTGATGCAAACAAATCTTGTGTGCGCCCACGTCAAGGAAAAGAGCTTATTGAAAATTCCATTCCACCTTTTTGAATCTCGACAAGTACATAATTTTCCCATTAAATTTGACTTTTCCCCGAAAATGTTCCGGAAAAAAGCCCAGCGAAGCATGAAGTTGGGCTCTTATGTGCGTCGTGAAATAAGAAAAGCCCATTAACACGGCTAAAGATTAACTTTCGAACTAATTCCATTATTCTCTCTCTCTCTCTCTCGTCACTCTGCACAGGTGTAATTTATTCATATTTGCATACCATCAGTGGGATTAGCAAATGGATTATTATTTTATTAAATAGAATGTCTCAAGGCTTTTCTCCCTCACAATTTCTGGCATGTCTCATATTCCTCTCTCTCTCTCTCTTTCCTCCCTGTGTCACCTTTTCCCACTCGAAAGGCTCCCTTTTTTTTATTCTTTTTGGGGGATGCTGTGGATGGGAGAAAAAAGGTAAAAAGACGCGATCCCTCTCGCTTTGTGTGTGGCGCTTTCGAGACACAAAGCATGCAAAAAGAGTGTCTCGCAAGGAGGGTTCAAGTGGTGTAAAATTGTGATTTAATTTAACATTCTCAATTGAATAATTTCAGCAGAGGGTATTATTGCTGTTTTCACTTCTTTCTCTCTCTCCCACCCCCCATTGCCGTGTCATTCTTTCGTCTCTAATTCAATTTTTATTGTAACAAGGAAGGGCGGTGTATTAAATTCTTATTAAATTTATGCGTGAAAAATTTCATTACATCCCTCCCGGTGTGCGTACAATGCCATGGCGGATGAGGAAGGAAGAGAGCGAGAGGGAATTTCAGGTCATATCTTCTGGGTTGTGTGCGCCGAAACATTGTCTGGGATGTTTCTGCCAAATATACAAAAGTCTTCCGCACCTTCGAGCTCTTTCGCCAACCTCCAGCAGCACCGTGACAATGGCGCGAATCCCATCTCCGCATATGTGTGGCAACCCCAGTGACTGATCCTAAATGCATGAGGAGGGAAAGACGACGGATCCTTCGGCGGCAGAATACGCTGACAGTGCTCTAGGGGGTTCTCAATTCCACTTCCTTGGCTTACACTCGTGCCGTCAGAAGAAGTCCCATCGGCTTGGGGGGTGGCATTTCACAGTGGGTGGGGCCGGAAACCATATTTTATGTGTGGCAACTGCCAAAAAAATCCTCCACAATTTTTTAAACAGACACACACACAAACACACTCAGTGCTGAGCATATTTCCACTTTGCCGGAAATTACATTGAGATGTATGTTGGTGCCAGTCACAAGAAATCTTATCAATCAATTTCGCCACACATTTTTGTTTACCTTCCGTGTGTGTTGGGCCACAGAGAGACAGAATCAGAGTTGCGAGCTTAACTTCCATTATCGTTTATCATCGACAATGAATCATTTTATTGCTCATGTGAATCGAAGATTCAACTCTACTGCGATCAATATCGCAGGCAATAAAGCTTTGAGGCTTCTTTTTTTCTGTCTGTGAGACACAACTTCCGGAAGTGTGCTTTAATATTGCGGGAAATATTGGCAAAAAAAAACATTCTCAAATTGAGAAGAAAAAAAGCGGATGAAAGGAGAATTTACCTAATATTGAATTGAACAAGCATGAATTTTACGACACAACACGTTTGCCTGGGGAGAGAAAACTGGTGAAGAAAAAAACACTCTCAAGATATCTCTCAAATTAATTGCACATTACAGCATGGCTCTAAAATTAAATATTCATACCCAAAATGCGGCATTTATGCGACAATGTCTCTGAGGGACGATGGCGAGACCCCGATGGTGAAATTTCATTTACTCACACTTTTTACGACATGAAGAATCATCATCATTTTGTACTTATGAATACCTTTTTTTCTTCTCTGCCACCCTCGAGAACCGATATATGTATACATTTCGAAATATTGCCAATGAAGGCGTATGCCTGGCAAACTTCCACTTTTTACGACGCAGCAAATAAGCTCATTTGCGAATTTATAGCACTTTTCGCCAGTGTGACATAAAAGGGAGAACTAAGAGATACTTTTATTCAATCATACAATCTTTATGTGTATCTTTTGGCTCACTTTTTTTTTATACTCACCGACCATAGATACATTCTGCATAAAAGAGTTTTCCACCCTCTCCGCTTGGTCATCATGAAAACTTTTCATAGACTTTTCAGCGCACAGAATGCATTTAAAATTCAACACTCTCCGGCAGAAATATACAATTTTTCCGCACACAACATGGTATGGGGGAAAGAGGAAGTAGAATGTCCAGTAAGTTGGAGGAGAGTGTGTTAAATTGAAATTAATATGCAAACCCCATATTAAATAAAAAGAAGCATCACGGGGAGAGAGTGAGAGTAGGGCTAAAAATGCTACAAGGGTTCTGCGTGGTGTAATGTTTCCCAGCCCAGCACAGTCGTAAGTTAATGCCCATAATACTAAAATTAACTGCAAAGCTGCTCAGTTCTATATATAGAGAGAGCTCTTTCCACCTCTCGGGGCGCTTTGTGAAACTATTACACTTTCCATGCAAATGAGTACATAAAACTTGTATTTAATCAATAAAGTGTTCACGCTATTTCAAATGGCGTGTTTCGCGTTTGAGGGTGGCGCAGAAAAAGAGAGCCCACCAAGTGAATTGCTTGTTTCATGAATGGAAGAGGAGAGTTATTTCCATATTTTACACTGTGTGCTCTCGTCCCACACAATTCCATAAACATACAAAATATGCATTGACATACTCTGCACGAGAGTGATGCTTTTAATAATTAAAAGCCGGAGAGAAATGGGGGGATTTTACTTTACTTTTTAATTACATACCCTATGCTTGTGTGCACTTTCAATGATTGATGCTTCTGAAAGGGGAATTATATTGGCTTTGACAGTGCACTTATGTATCTATATATTCTCTCAATTTACTTATTGACAACTTGTAACTACATATTATATCCTTACTGAACTTTGGAATACTTTGAAGTCATTTCTGTCAGTGTTCACAAAACTTTACGTGCAGCATTTCCATATCAAACTCCATGTTTAAATTAATCATTTAAATTCAGAGAAATTTGCCACTCAACAGTTCTTGTAATGATTAATTTTACTAAGACTTTTTGGCAGCTTTGACTCAATTTCGTCCTCCACTATTCTTGCTTCCCTCTCCATCCCTCCCGCAAAAGGGAAACTTTATTACTCACGGAGCTCGACAAGAAGCAATGGAAGGAAAGTTATCTCGCTGTAAATATTATTTCCGCTAATTTGTACCCACCGGCAGATGGGGTGGCAATAAGAGAGTGCATGTATGTCTCAAAGGGATGCTAATTAGCATGCGGAGGGAGTAAGAGACTTCTTACAGCACTAAGTAACAATTAAAACCCGAGTCACTTTCGCAACTCCACGCCAAATAATGTGCTAAATAATAAAGTTTCGCTTTGCACAGTTGTAAAAATACATAATGTACCTTCACATGGAAGCACCTTAAGACCTCTCTCTCTCTCTCTGGGTCTCCAGATTGAGTGGAGTGTCATCGGTTGCAGAGGGATAATTGCCCTCTGTGTCCCTCGAAGACAATTAGGACATCGTAACAAGGCGATTAGGTTGAATGGCAAATTGACCAGTGGAGGCGCCAGGTCGATCGAAGGGATTTCATCGGTATTTTCTGCACGGACACGCAAGAAGCGATACACGCACATAATCATTAAAATGAGTCCTTCGACGAGATCCCACCTCGATGCCAGGGTCATTTAATATTGTTTTATGACACCAATGAAGTTAAACTTAATTATCCACCTCATTTACGGCCCACCCGCAATTCACCCATGCACGTCGCGAGACTGCGGGTGATTTCGAGCCACGCACTTCCTGTATTAGATTTAGAGCTTGTAAGACTTCATGCTAAATACAGGTAGGAAGTGTATTTACAATGTATAGTTAAAAGTTTATCAGGGCTTTTTATCGCCGCTGTGCCAAAGTTCTCTGGAATTTTTTGTCGGGGGGAGGGAAGACAAAAAGAAGCGGGTGAGAAAGTTGAATTCTGTGCGAAGATAAATAGTCGCAGGCGGATTCTGTGCTTCCGCTTCAGCTGATAAAACATTCCCGACGTGCAAGTGAAATATTCCACCCACACACGGACCCGATTTTTCTGATGGTCTTGTCAATTTATCTGTCAATATTGTATCAAATAATCAGATTTGCGGGTCTGCGCGCGGGACGAGAGACAGAGAATGGGAAATCACACTAACCTTATCTCTGATTTCTTGTCGCATCTTCTCGCGCTCCTCCTCCATCTTCCGGTGCTTCTCCTTGCGTCGCTCCTCGGCCTCTCGGATGGCCTCCTGACGCTCTCTCTCCTCCTCCTCAGCCTTCTCCTTGTCGTCACCATCATCGCCACCATCTCCACCCACTGCGCCTGCAAAAAAGGGGGTGAGAGAGAACCGTGAGGACACACACGACTCACATGGACAGTCGCCCATAAACACGACTATTAATCAAAAGTTTTCACACACACACAGCCCGAATATATGGAAGAGTCAATAAATCTCCCCGTGAATTGTGCCCCAGGAGATCCATTGAAAAATTACACGAGATTTCAACGTGATTTGGAAAGGAGATGGGATTCCGGACGCGCTGTCCTCCATCAATTCACGACTCTGCCAATAGCATCAATTCTTCATCCGGACTTTCGAGGGATGACACCAAATTGTCCCTCGTAAAACATTGCCAATTACGAAATACAAGTATAATAGTGAAAATTATTGACACTAAAGATTCCCGACTTGCCTCTTCTACCCCTCTTTCCTCCCCCCAGTGAAAGTCACACTGTGAGCATTAATTGGCAAATATTGTGTGCAAAATTGCTTGTGATTGAATTAGCAATGTATACAGAGAATGAGAGAGGCTGAATAATAATTCACCGGGAGGAATCTGTGCGACCAGAAATATGTCACGCTTTACCCTATATTTATTGCAGGGGAATTTTTGTTTGCACACATCAGTGTAATGCGGGTGAGACATATTAAAATGTATGTATGCCACACAACAATGAATTAGCTGCTGTGGCATAGAGGCCATCATAAAATTTTAATTATTCATAAATTAAAGGCATTTTGTATTATGATTTACCCTCTATATTATTGTGTTTTTCGTGTGCTTGTGTGAGACAAAACGGCGAACGTAAATAAAATTAATTATTTCTGTGTTTCCAATTGCGATTCTGACAGTTGCTATAACGAGCCATAAATTTTGGAACAGCTCGAAACGTCAGGTCAGCTTCCATTTATCATTTTAACAATCCGCGTGTTTTCCTTTCCCCAAAAACTCACACGATACATGGTTGTGCGCGGCAAAAAGGAATATTCCCCCCCATAATGAATGTGCGCTGCTCTTTTCCTCTCATTTTTCTGTCGGAATTCCTGAGATGTGAAAATATTTTCCCTTTTCTTTGGCTCCACAACGATAATTGCAGCAATTCGAAAGCCATTCAACATATACATATCTTCTGCTGTGTTCGCTGTGTTGTACAATCTGCGAAAAGCTCCCACTAAGCCTGATCTAATTCCCGGTGTATTTCAACCCCTCACTTGACTCAGGGAAAAATCCAGCCCCCCATTTGAGCCACTGACGGACAAATGCGACAGATGAAATGTGTTTCCGCCCATCGGCGTGTATTCAAAACGAGTTTTGTGTCCAACATTGCAAAATTGGAACTCTCTCTCTCTCTTTGACATAATCTCACGAAAGCAATCTCAACCCCAGTGTGCAAATAAAAGTGTGTGTGGGGGCGAGAGCGAAAAGCTTTGATCACTTGTGGTTAATTTGCATGAAATGACGCGATGGCCAAACACTGATAAGGCTCATCTGCGCGCCCTTTTATCGCGTTTCATTAGCAAATTCGACGGAACTCTTTGACACCAGAGCGCCCAGACTTTTCCAACGAAAGGGGTGCGCGAGAGTGTACTCCCGAAAAGCCACCCCTCTTGCCATGGGGCGCTGTTGTCATTAGTTTCAAGGGTGCGCTCACTATCTCTGCTGGAGATTCAATGTAATGCGAGTCAGTGGATTCTTGATTACAGAAGCCAAGCTTGTGATACAAATCGTCAAAGGGTTGTGAAATGCCTAAAATATTATGTATTTTGTACCATTGGAATTATCATTTGTTTTCAAAGAGAGATTTGTAAGCTGAAATAATCAATCCTCCCTCATGAGTGGATTGAATTTCTCTCTCAGCCGAAAAAGATCTCTTTGTCATTATTCTGATGGGTATATAATGAGATGGAGTTTTGTGAAGAAATGTATAGTTTTAATGCTTGACAATTGTGTGCGCCTCTGAGGGTGGAAGCTTCACTCTCACACCCTGTGTTGGAGGAGTAAATGACAACGATGCAGATGCTGTGAAGCAACCGCAAGAATTGAGTTACATTCCCTCAATTGGATTTGCACGACATCGATACTCGGCATATGGAGAGCTTGCGTCTCCCCGGGAAAAGCATGTGCAGAAATTGCTCGGGAAATCATATGTGGAATGGTGGTTGGCGAGGGGATTGTGGTGTGTGGCAGACAGTAATCAACATCCTCATCGAATTCTCCCATCTCGCTCGGCTCTCTCTCCGTGCGATTTGATGTTAGTGAAAATGATGAAAAATTGAAATTGGAAGCACAGGCGAGATGAAGACGACACTCCACACGCCCCATAAATGAAATACCACACCGAATTTGTCTTGTAGACAATTTTGCGTAAAAGTAAGATGAGGATATTGGTGTGGCGCAGAAACGGATGAAATAGGGAATTGAATTCCCTAATTTTCCATCTTCATCGCACTCCCCCCGCCCAGCCCACAAGAGGATGAGGATTGGCGAGAGTGTGAGTCAAGAGAGATGCCTTAAATGTTGGCTCAAGAGTACACAAGAGGGGCGGAGAGAGATGGCTCACACAAATTCAATGTGCCTCACACGATCTGGCCTTAATTTAATTTAAGAGGGATATTCATGCATATTTAGGAGTATATTTCAAATGCTCTCCCACCCACTCTGCGGCGCCTCTTGTCGACTTAAGAGGATATGACCGAGAAAAGCTCCCCCGGAGCTTTACACACACACACACACACAGCGCGCCTCAACGTGAATTTCTTCACAACAAAGCCCTGAGCTAATATTGCTTTGACTCCTAAGCATGGCACAAGATCGTATTGAATTAAGGTACAAATGCAAATAATTTGATAAGATTTCTCGCATTAGTTGAGGAAGCATTCAGTATCACTTGCAATTATGTCTTAATCCGCAAATTAATCCATTTTACCATAAAACACGCCCCGTGTCACAAGTGATATATTGAATATACTTTAACCTCCACTTGCCACTGGCAAATTAAGTTTCCTGCGAATGTCGTGAAACCAGAGAGAAAACATACAGAGAGTAATTGTGCAATTTTGCATAGAAAATAGCATCCTTTTTCTTTCTCTCTCTCTCCCTTTCGCTCTTCTCAATTCAACCCCGGCGTTTTTCAAAGAGAATGGCAATTTTGTGAGTGTTGCCATAATAAATTGAGGAAATTTGACGAAAATTAAGAGGGAAGTCTCCATTAAAAGTGTGACAAGCTCGCATTCTCGCAGTTAACAGGAAAAACTATGGCTGAAATATTATTAAGCTCAGGTCTTTGTTCAGCATATTAATGAAGTTTGTCATATTTGTTGATTGCCCAGTGCTTTTCCCAATTATTATGCTATGGTTTAGCAGTGTTTTCACATATGTGCTTTAAAGTCACTTGCCGGATAATCTTGCCCAATTTCCAGAGGAAATTTCTTGCAATACACCCCGGAAGTCTTCATTGAATATACATGAATTTCATAGAAACAATGAGATCCAATTTATGCACATTGCGAATGCAGAGGAAAATTGAATTTTCGAGTGAGAGGGGCACTCGAAGGAAATGAATGTGCTTGGAAATTGCTCACGGTGGATTGTATTTGCATGTCGGCGGCGACGGAAAGCTCTCTGTGTGACTTTGAGGGATGATCAGAAGGACATACTCTCGGGGCAATTACAGCCCCCGAGTTGGTGTACATCGTGAGCTAATAAAGCCCTTCTGGGTGGTCACATGGACAAAGCAGCCCCCCAGCGAGAGCCACCTCTTGTTTTGGGGGGGCGAGGGAAAAGTTCCTCCGCCGCCAAATGAGTGAGTGACAGAAGCAACACACCCACAAGAAAGCAGCGCGCCCCCCGGAAGGCTAAATAAATGATGTGACCGAGGGTGAATAGGTTGGATTTATTAATTGAATGTTTTCCTTCAGATTTTTGACGATGATTTTCACATGACCAAATGACGGGTGGGAAAAAAAGGAAGACACTCTTGGAGCGTAATTAAGTCCATTTCCCATTCGACTCTCTCTCTCTCTCTCTGTCTTTGTCTCTCTTGGGAAATTAATTAGTAAACGCACTCGAAGGACTCTCTTGGGAATTAATTAAATTTCTTCCTTTTGTCCTCCGTCACACCATCATTTCCAAAGGACATGCCCCTCTTCGTGTGCATCATGAAAGGATAATGAGGTGATTTTTTCGAGGGGCGCGCTTCTTCCTTCACCCAGGCTAATGCCGTGTTTGCTGATCGCAAATTAATGTCCTCTCAAATTCAACGACTTTTCAAGATGCCGTCAAGTGGATGGAAGGAATGGATTTGAATTTTTAATGCTCCACTCTCTCAGGCTTCCCAGAAGCTCAATCATGGAGGTGTTTCTCTGGAAATCCCACTAATTTCCCAGGTATTAATCAGGACAATCCTCTCCTGCAAGTTCTGCACAGATTGCAGTGTAAATGGCATTAGTTGTAATCCCCTTGATCATCTGTGACACACGTTCGATTCATTACGGTGCGGTGAATAGTGCGCTCGCCTCTTGAAAAGGACACCCCAAACCCCCGGACATTTTGCCGTATATCTAAATTGAAGAGTGGCGGTGTGGGAAATTGCTGGAAGGGATGTTTCTGGAGTTGTGTGCATTTTGAACATATTGAGCTTGCCGTGTGAATCCATTGGAGATTGATTTCAATAGATGAAATTCTCGCTGTGACAGTGAATAAAAGCATGGGAGAGCTTTCCAGTGTGTGTGCTTTTATATTGAGCCCCCAACATGCATTAGTGCGCTAGTTTGTGCGACTGAAATGCACTGAGCCATCAGTTGTGTTATTGATGCTGTACAATTCCATTAAATACACACCCCATTCGCCATCTCCTCCCCATATATCATCATATCAATTGTACAGGAGCTGCTGCAGAGATATCTCCATTTAGCATCTCTGCCAACTTTCAATTCAACGCCTTTTGTACTGCGATGTCTTGTTCCACGCGCGTCATATTGAAAAGAAGAGACTTTGCTTGGGATATTGTGGCGGGTGAAAAAGATCTCACCCTCATCGTGA